TAAGTGACCTATTATTATTTATTATTATTTATTTATTTATTTGAACACATGAATATTGGTACAATAGAGCGCCAATATATATGCGCCACACAAAACAATGAGAATTCGAAGAGAAGTAGAAAAAAAACTAAGGAGCGCAAAAAAAGAGAACAATAACGAAGAGATGGGTGTAAGGTAGTGTGGTAGTAACGACGGTACGAAAAGGTACAATCAGAAGAAGTCTTTCAGGTAAAGGAGACACAACCACTTTTTATGAAGAAAGTAAAAGAAGGTTACAGCACGATCGCCACTAGCTTCTATTCTGAGCCATATATGATAACGTCTCTAGCCACTGTGTAGCACCATCTCTCAGACCCCAACCAGGGAGTCGTGAAGGACCAACAGAAGCCAGTCCTTTGCAGCTTTCTTTCATGCCGCGACACCATGTCATACACTGACCACCTCTCCGTTTTTCCCAATCAGTCCCAGAGTCGGCAAATAATGCACGACGTGGAATTCTCTCGGCAACATTTGTAGAACATGTCCAAGCCACAGAACTCGGTGTTTCAACATGGTGACACTAATTGAATTATCGTCGCTCTACCTGAACATACGATGCCGAACCTCTGCATTACTAACATGGTGTTGCCACTAGATGTCAGCAACCCTACGGAGACGACGATGATCAAACAAAGAGATTCGCCTAACATCCTCAACTCGGAGAGGCTAGATCTCACGAGCATGGAGTAAAGCTGCTCTCACCGATGGGTTGTTGGTCCGACCTTTTACAGCCAGACTAACATCACGAAGGCGCCAAAGATCGTCTAAATCGGCATAAACCGCTCTGGATTTTATTATACATGAATTGATCTCACCACTCATACCACCAGTAGCACTTGCGCAACTACCTAGATACACGAACTTCTCCAGTAATTCTATCTACTCACTACTCAAAGTGAGTGCAGGGTCCTGTCAGTCTTGTAAAAGCACTTTGCACTTCGAAGGTACAAAGCACATGCCTTACCTACGGAAACCAATTGACAACTGATTAAGTGCTGACTGCATGATTTTAGTATCATCGCACAGTAAAATAATATCATCCGCATACTCAAGATCGAGAAGTCTTTCTCTATGCAACAGATCCACACCGCCATTACTTACATCCATCAGAGCTGTTTCCAGAATGTCATCGATGGCAAAGTTGAAGAGGAATGGTGAGATTGAGCAACCCTGCCTAACCCCACTGCTCGAATGGAACAATGGAGAAAGGTGGTTGTATGCCCTCACTCTACTTGAGGTGTTTGTATATAGGGCGTTTGGATGTTAATAAACTTCTCAGGCACACCCTTCTTCAATAGACAATCCCAGAGAACAGTCCTGTCCAGCGAATCAAATGCAGCCCTGATATCAAGAAACACTACGATTGTTGGCCTTTGAAAATTATGGCGGTGTTCTAACATTTGGCGGAAGATGAAGATATGATCAATACATCCTCGACCAGAACGAAAACCAGCCTGCTGCTTGCGAGTCAATCTTTCTCGGGTTTTGAAGAACCTACGAAGTATAACGGAAGCCAATAGCTTGGACGCAATCGGAAGTAAACTTATCCCCCGATAGTTGTTACAGGAACGACGTGAACCCTTTTTAAAGATGGGGAGAACTATCGACTCATTCCAAGACGTTGGTACACTCTCTAGTTCCCAAACCTTTGTAAACAACGTCGTCAATTCCTTAGTCAAAAAGTCAATGCCGTCTTTAAAAAAAGCCGGAGGTAAGTCATCTGGGCCAGGTGATTTGTAACGCTTCAAGAGTTGGAGTTCCTTGCAGACTTCCTCCTCATTTGGTGGATCAGTCGTCACCGGCCATGGAGGGCAGGACAGTCTGACTGATGTTGCCGGAGCAGCAGGCCAGTTGAACTGCCCTTCGAAAAATTCTGCCCATCGTCCAAGACGTCGATGGATGTTAGTGATTGGCATTCCATCATCCTCGCAGATTGTTTCGCTCACACCAGACTTCTTGCTGCCAGTGGCTCGGATGAGTTGGAAGAGCTTCCGGTAATTACCAGATGCAGCTGCTGCTTCCAACTCATTAGCACGCTTCGACCACCAGGCTTCTCGGTCCTTACGCAAGCTTTGCCCAATTTCCTTACGTAACATCCTTCGTTTATGGTCAAACTCACGGTCACCCGGAGTAGACCGACGTCAGTCAGTCAGCTACAACGTAGGACCAGACACATATATGCATCGGTCCAGGTTGCCATACCTCATTAGCACAGCAAGATGAACACCGGATTCATAGGAGTGGTTAGGTCAAAGGTGGTAATATATAGGAGAAAGATTGCATATAAGGATACAGTACAGGAAGAAAGAATTAGTTAGTAGGAAGAAAGATATGAAGTGATTTTAATCTCTTAGTTTAAGGGAAGACACGGAGTGTATACACCGACGCCATTGTGATCGATTCTGAGCCATGTCACCAAGAGTCTCCAACCATCGGCTCCAATGAGTTGTAAGGAGCCTGAAGAAACCCAGTGCTTATAAGCGGGACGTTTCGCGAACCCACAACTGACTGTACCCGGCATTTTCATGGCGTCATGCAATTGCAGCCAATGCTCATCTATACTTTTCGGTGGAATGGTAGCTAGCCTAGAAACTAGCTCGGCTCGATACTTACTAGCAACAGAAGTTGCAACCAGCTTGCTAACAACAATCCGTTGGTGGCGGTCACTTCATTGGCCACTGAAAAGTAAGGTAAGATTGGCGCAGACCAAGGCATGGTCAGAGATATGGTTGTGACTTTCCTTTTTTAATATTCAGAATTCACAGGACGACTACCTCAATTCTCAATAGACGAACGAACGTGCAATTGTTTTTATGTTCTACCTACATTTCAATAAATATTTTGTCAAACGGCGTACTTTCTTACTTACATGGGAAACTGTAGAAGTGTTGAGAATGTGTGTTTGAGTGTCACTGAACTTTTGATTAAATGCACATTCCTTACAAATAATGCATCACCTGTTCCTTTTTTGCAGATAATTTCAAATAACAATGAGTTAGCAATTGCATTGGATATGCAAAACAATGGATGCTTAAGCTTCTGCTCTAATGTTGTACAATAATACGCTTTTCCTTTTAAATAAATTTTTTCAAAAACATACCGGTTTTTCACTGCATTGCAGATTTATTTGGTCTGTTGTTGAAAATAAAGGGGAACATAAGAGACCTTTGGGATTATGTCAATGGATAGAAAATAGGGAGTTATGTGTGTATTTAGGCGAAAGTAGACAATTCTGCGGATATTAAGGCGAAAAGTGAGTAATTTATCGACAAAACGGCGAGAGGGGAAAGTCCGCTTTATTTCCCCCGGACAGGACATTGTGATGCGTTTTCCTCTTTCGCTACCAAAGCATTTACCCCTTTTTTGGTTGTCTGGGTAATTACAGTGTATGAGTACTAACTTCATAGTAAGTAAATAATGAAATGTTATGGACAACTTAATAGATTTGACGGGAAAAACGTTGATAACTGAGGTGGTCAAACAAAAAACATGCTAACGGAATAACGTCCCAAATTTCAGTCGAAATTCTGGAAGCTAAGAACTAGCTGTTTGTATATATGGGTACATATCAGGATTTCATCTAGACAAAACCACTATTTAAAGACCAGTTGACACTAAGGAGCAAAATTAAGGTCATAAGAGAACTAACAATTGTTCTAAGTAAAAAATGAGTAATGACAAACAATTCGTAAACAACTGGAAATGCACCAACCAACAACAACACCAATCCTTCAGTGACCAAGTATGGGAATATCTAGGAACTAATACACAAACATTTGATAAAAACTATATTGTCTCTAAAACTTCACTGTCAATACAATTACACTATTTTCTTGGGTCGAAAACATCTTTACGCCCTACTTTAATAACTTAGAATATCGTATTTTCTGTGACAAGATTTCACATATAAAGATTGAGGATCCAGTGCCATATTTTAAGGGTAAGTCTATTGATCTTTTCAGAAAATCATTTTGGTTTCAACTCTTAAATAACTAGATTATGAACTCGTCACTTTTTATAGTGTCTTACTGGGAACACTTCATTGAACAACTTCACCTTAAACATCTTGAAAGATTACTTGGGTCACCATACTCGTCATTTTTAGTGTAATATAAACTTGGATAAAATTATCATTCAATCCATTGATGCGTAACGTCGACCAGCAGTCTTAAGACGAAATAGGCGACTAGTTTTCTGGAAATCAGTAGGTTTTAGTCGAATTGAAATACTCGACACAGGTTAATATCACTGATATATGAACCACTTCTCAGAAACGCTTCCTAACGCAAGGTTTACTACCCCGAACCAAAAAAACGTGTTAAAGTCAACGGTTATACTCTTCGATTTCGCCAACCTCGTGTTCAGCCAAATTCTCGTCACACAATAAGCTGACTTGGAGAAACATAAATGGTCTGAGATTTGTATTTTGGCAAAATGTGAAATTAGTGTCCAAACTCGCAATGGTAAGCTGGTGCTTATTACCACTGAATAGAACTGCACTGGACTCAAATCTCGAGAACTTTTTGGGAAATCCATAGATCTCGAAATTTCGAGTGCATTTCAATCCTATTTATCATCCATTACATTTCCATAAAAAAGACCGATCGCTCACATTCGTTCTTACTCATTAGTCTTGCCATAATTACCAATTCTCAGCATTTTAGTAACCAAACAGTAGTAATTTATATGCAATTCTTGCATAACTCATAATACGAGACTTCGCGCAAAAGCCCAAGGCACGTCACCTCTAATCTATTTGGTTCGATGTGATAGTTTACTTGTACCCCTTAAAACGTTTGTGTAAAAAAATAACGTTTGGGATTTCGAAATTGAGTAAGGACAGAACCTCTGCAACACTAACAGACGTTGGTTATTTTCGAGGTTGATTCATCAAGTTCTCCGAACTGCTCAAACCACCAATAAACGCATATAATGAGTAAGCGACCCCAAAACGCAACAGTTTGAGAATTATTTCCTTAAAATATTTTAAATATAAAAGAAATACCAGTGATTTTTGTGTTTCCACATAAAAGTAACGAGAAAACTATCACCCTTAACTGAATTCATTTGTCAACAGATACTTTCTTCACTCAAAATAGAGTATGTGTTGAAAACATAAAGTACATGCTTTAACCATACAGAATTAAATGAGATATGTAATCTAGTTCCAAATAATAAGAACGAAGCTTTAATTCAAAAGCACATATACTACAAACTGGAAAATGATTAACAAAAGAATAAAGAGTCACTGTAAACTAGGTCAGAAATAAATACCTAATCTACAAATAGTAAAATTAAATTTTATTTTCATACAATACAGACATGAAATTGTTTTCAAAAAAAGAAGTGTTGAAAATACACACATGTACATCACACAAAGCGTTGTTGTCGAGTTCTCTATTATTCACCTTTTTCCTTATCATCTTTTAAATACAAAAATACAAAACTAAATAATATTAGGCCTATCATCATTGATATAGCACTACCATAATAAGGATAAGCGGCAACGAGGAATCGTTCATATTGTGTATGAGTAAATGGACGAACAGGAACCTGTATGAAGATAAACAATACATTATTTAGGTTTCAGATCAGAATATTTGGGAGGGTGGATAGAGCAAAAACTAGAAAACCAAGAACTTACTTGTGTAACACTTAGTAGGTGTGTATAGCCAACACGATAATAATCAACCACGAATTTGAAAACTCCGTACACATCAGGTAGTTTCATAACAAGTTTGTATTCACCATCTACAAAAATGTGACGATTGGAAAATTCAGATTAGAAATATAATGCTGGTTAAATAAAATAAAAAAGCAACTACGTCAATTCGTGGAAGTACACACTAGTTGAAAGAGTTATATAACACTTGTAGGCCACATCTGTCATATCGTCACAACTAGAAGAAAACTACCAAGATGAATACCATAGAAATAAAAATAAAAGTAACACCAAATACTTTTTGTAAACTTGAAGTAGTTTACGATGACGTTGGATCGCGTTTAACACTTTAGGGACGTATATTTCGATAAAATCTTTGGATAATTGGACTAGATTAACTAATAAGTTTGTACTGTATCTAACAGGTTAAAGCTTCATTCTACAAATTTACTTAGTTTGCTTTTTGAGCTATTTTGTACTTCTAAATCTCATTGTAAAAGCTGACGAAAATGTTCACAGCAGGCAAAACAAGAATTTAGAAAAGATGACTAAACTAACGATCATAATACACTTTTTACTAAAACGAAAAAATTTACACTATTTTTACTTAGAAATGACGTTGAACTTCAGTTGACAAAAAACACCAAGTATTGACTATTGACGTAGTAATCCCTAAAATCCTCCTTATGACTAGTTTATAGTTTTTCTGAGATAAAAAGGCATAAGGTTATACAAACTCAAACAACTGAGGTGAACTCCCAAAACTTAGTCTTTGAAATGATTCTAGGCTTATTATTATAACTAGTGCCAAATCTCTTAAAAATCTTTATCCTTTTAGTCTTACTTTATGACCTCCAAAGTCTTCAAATGGAAGGGTCATAATAATCTTAATAGTTACCTGTCGTTATAACTTGTATCACCTTGTGGATAGAACATAAGTACATATAATACTGCAAAGGTTTTTATGGACAAGAGTCGACAATATGTTGCGAATTATTCCATAAAGTGAGCTTGATATTCGATGTAAGAATCATTACGAACCTATGTTTTTATATTTTGCTTCTGGCAGAAAATTAATGTCAAAAGTGGATTTACAGATATCTAAACAAAATAATAAGCTGACTACCATACTTTTGTGTTCCATTTTTTTTCTGATAAATGGATCGATTCGCACAAACTCCAACTGGACATCGTCTGCATTGAAAGGAACCCAATTCCCGTTATCGTCTTTTGTTTCTATTTTGATTATGTAAATAACGTCATCCAAAATTGTATACTGGTTAGGTGGAAGAGTTTCACCCACTCGATGGTGTTTCACGTAAACATGTCGCAGCTGACCACGCTCACCCAAAACCCATCGCAACAGATTATCAGTAAGCATTTGGTTGCCACAAACCACACTCCTGTACGATAACAGACATTTAAAATGAAATAAGATCAAGTATGAGAAATAGTTATCTCAAAACAAATCGGACTAGCACAAGATTGGATACAGGCTAATGTACAAAACATATTTACCAAGAAAATAAAACATATAACTGATATGAAATACTTGATTTTCGACATTTAAAAGGTATTGTAACGCATTCACGGCAATATTTCAGGATGAGAGTTTTCTACTGTACAAGATTATGGATCAAAACATAGTAGCGCATAATTTATGCCAGGATCTGGAATACATGCATATTCACCGACATCTAGATGTGTTAATTATTGAAATGTTGATCAAAACGTCTCAGGAGTAATGTCACATAAAGACGTAGAAAGTACATCACATTACTAAAACGTCTCTACCAAAACACTTATGGTCAGACAAAACTTGAAGTATCATCTAAAGTAGCCATGTTGAATTATGTCTGTGATCGACGTCTGGCAACGACTGGACTAAACCATCAGGTTTTAATTCACTGGTCAGTGAATGCTCTAAAAGACTGATATCCTTCAGCCATTTGGAACGAAATTGATCATTCCTACTTTGTGCCTGATATCTTGTGTACAAGAATGTTATTCAGATAAAGTAAACTCTGTTTAGCTGGTTAATTAATTTCTCTTATGATATTAACTAGAGGGTTTGCGCTGATAATAATGTCTTGTGAGGAGCCGTCAGTCAGCCACATGGTATCAGCTATAGACAAGGATTCTTTTCGACATATTGACACTTTAAAAAATATTCCATAACAGTAACAGATACCTTAATTCATATACGTCGCCCAGTTCAGTCATGACTCTAGAAGAAAACACCAGGGTGGGAAACTAGTCATCTAGAGAATCTGTAACTGACGCAGTCATGTTAAGTAATAATTTCAACAATGAATAAAGCATTTTCGATTCTACGGATGGCGATTAGTGTTTAGAATTCATTTTTACACATCCCCAAAGTGCTGTTTTAGCATTGGCTCCGGCTACTGTTTAACTTTATAAGTAAGATTGAGTGTGTTAAAAACAATGTATTTTAGTTCTGCCGAACATAAGCGATTGGTAGCTAAGAGAACCTCAATATACTCTAAGAAAACTTGCACACTTAACAAAAAACAAGGTTAACTATTTCTGGTATCACTAACCAAGACAAAAGCAAACACAGTCTTCATCGAATTCGGAAAAGTTAGTTTTAGGGAATCCTAGTCAGTGACGTAGTCATTTAGGTTCATAGCTTAGGCCGCTTAAGGAACATCGTGTTTTATCCGTACTCAACGAATCATCTTAAAACCTGAGTGGCCAAAGCTAATACGATAATTGTGACATTAATATTCGCCGAGCATATAAGCTTTTCTCCAACTTACTTATGAGACTCGGTCTCAACAGTAGATTCAAAAAAGGAATTCGATAAGAAATCCAACGAACCAATGAACAAGGCACGAGCGTTATTTCTTGCCTGTAATGCTGTGATCAGCTGAGTGTTTGTGCCGACAGTGTTTGGATAATCTACTATGGTTTTGTCTGGGTTGTAGCTGTAAGAAGTCTTCGATCCGTGTAAGACATCAATGAGCAAAGGGTTAGTTTGATCAGCTGAAATACTATCACAGTTAAAATATATACATCAAGTTACCCTATCCCACGGTATAACAAAGGTGCGTCGACTTTCCCTCCAGTTATCACATTGCTTTTGACCAGATTATTAACAGGCACAGTGATTAAAGAGTGCTATTGACATTAAGATATTATGAAAACCTACTAAACCATCATCCTTTTTGTCGAAATTGAAATGGTCGATAACAAGAGTGTTTTCTTCGTCAAACTCCACCCCGCATTCACTCCCCAACTCCCGAATAGATTCACCCACATTTGGGCCGGCAACTACAACGAGGTTTCCCCCATCGTCAACGAAATTGGTTATTTCCTTAACGTTTAATGCACCCCCAAACTCTAGTATTCTAAATTAGCGAAAAACTGGACGCACCGCTAACAGATGGGGCTAGAATAATTAGGCCCGAATATAGATATTCTCCAAGGTATTTTAGTGAAATAGATGATTCATCAGCGAGTTTTGTGGTCAAGTTATAACCCCTGTCTAATTCATATTATAACTTTATTTGAACTTACTTGTCAACATATTTAAAAAAGTGGAATGAGTCTCCTTAATATAAAAATTCTCTAGAAGCACCAGCAGATTTTTTGATTTATCTTCGTGACTAACCACAAAAGGTGAAAACAATAGCACCAATAAATGCAACCACATTATTTGCATAGTGACGTTGTACTGGCGCCAAGCTGACGTACGCAAAGACCTGTGTTCAAACCTCACTGGTTTAGTGACTTATATTGTTGTTAAGTCAAAGATAAAAAAAAGTCACTTGAGACTGATTTTAAAGACGTTGAAGGTAATTCTTCTGTAGAATGGTATACGATTCCCTACGCTTATCATTCAGGAACATAGTGTATTAAAAGGTCTATGACACTACTGAGTCATATGTTAACGTTTTACGTTTCTTTTGAAGGCGTCAGCAGCTGGCAACATCACCATCAGTTCTGCAAGTAAAATTTTCGGCTTACAAAAACTAGCTTGAAAAGGACTCATATGTACTCTGTACAACTCTACTAATATTCAACATTTAGGTAATGAAAACTTTAGTGAATTTCTGGTATTTAGCTTACAAACCAATCATGACGACGATTCCATGTCGAAATCACTCCTCACTGTAGTGAACTAGCTAGAGCCAGTCAGTTTTTTTGTTCTGGCATAGCGATATTTGGAAGTGCCTAAACGTTCTGGTTCTAAACAATAAACTGTAATGCTCCAAGTAGAGGCTACGTATTTTTCACATGACGAAACTTTTAATAAACTTGTTTATATTTTATTTGTTTGTTGATTATGCGTGGTGTTGCCTTTGAACGGTGTTTTAAATTATTTAAGTTACGGCCCATAAGGAAGAACAAGATGTAAAGGCAAACAAATTCCCTAAATAAACTGTCGTGTAAGTATTCAACTTTGACGCTGACCTGATTAGTTTAACTAAACATGCCCTAGCTGAAGGTGCTCGGTTAAGCATCCGCTCCATACTTTTCGACATGTCGATAGCTTTGAAGATATGTCTCCGAACTCCCGCATTCCCAACTTCTGACTTAATTTAATTTGGGATCTCCGATTATGATGTTTCAGATAACGGAGTTCATGTTTTCCTAACGAATCAATTAATCCATCAGGTAAATGCTATTCTTCTGTCTAAAAGACCAGGAGCACATAATCGCATAAATAGTAAGATTTAAGATCAAGACACCCGTGTGTCACCGGTTGAGGAGTTAGAAACTCATCATGATAACAGGACAAGTAGTACAGTGGTGTGAATGGTAAAGCTCTTATGGTCATATTTGCTCCAAACCACAGGATTTTTAAGCTGGACCTAAGAATACTGAGATTTACATTTAGCGTGTAACACTGAGATTTATTTCTTTATTTATTTGAACCCAAATATTGGTAAAAGGGGGCACCAAATATATAAGCGCCACACAAAACAATGAGAATGAGAAGAGAAAAAATGTAAGGTGCGTATAGGAAGAAAAAGACGAACAACAACGACCACAGAATAGTGTATGGTAGTGTAATATTAATTATAAAAATAATGGGGGAAGAAAAAAGATACAACCAAAAGAACTCTTTCAGTTAAGAAAGATAAAACCACTTTTTCTAAAGAAAGCAAAAGGTTACAGCAGAATCTCCACTGGCTACTATTCTGAGCAAGATCCGGTAACGTCTCTAGCCAGTGTTGCACCATCTCTAGGACCACAACCAGGGAGTCCTGAAGTAGCGACAGAAGCCAGTCTTGCACAGCTTTCTTTCATATCACGACACCATGTCATACACTGACCACCTCTCCGTTTTTCCCAATCAGTCCCAAAGTCGGCAAATAATGCACGACGTGGAATTCTCTCGGCAACATTTGTAGAACATGTCCAAGCCACAGAACTCGGTGTTTCAACATGGTGACACTAATTGAATTATCGTCGCTCTACCTGAACATACGATGCCGAACCTCTGCATTACTAACATGGTGTTGCCACTAGATGTCAGCAACCCTACGGAGACGACGATGATCAAACAAAGAGATTCGCCTAACATCCTCAACTCGGAGAGGCTAGATCTCACGAGCATGGAGTAAAGCTGCTCTCACCGATGGGTTGTTGGTCCGACCTTTTACAGCCAGACTAACATCACGAAGGCGCCAAAGATCGTCTAAATCGGCATAAGCCGCTCTGGATTTTATTATACATGAATTGATCTCACCACTCATACCACCAGTAGCACTTGCGCAACTACCTAGATACACGAACTTCTCCAGTAATTCTATCTACTCACTACTCAAAGTGAGTGCAGGGTCCTGCCAGTCTTGTAAAAGCACTTTGCACTTCGAAGGTACAAAGCACATGCCTTACCTACGGAAACCAATTGACAACTGATTAAGTGCTGACTGCATGATTTTAGTATCATCGCACAGTAAAATAATATCATCCGCATACAAGATCGAGAAGTCTTTCTCTATGCAACAGATCCACACCGCCATTACTTACATCCATCAGAGCTGTTTCCAGAATGTCATCGATGGCAAAGTTGAAGAGGAATGGTGAGATTGAGCAACCCTGCCTAACCCCACTGCTCGAATGGAACAATGGAGAAAGGTGGTTGTATGCCCTCACTCTACTTGAGGTGTTTGTATATAGGGCGTTTGGATGTTAATAAACTTCTCAGGCACACCCTTCTTCAATAGACAATCCCAGAGAACAGTCCTGTCCAGCGAATCAAATGCAGCCCTGATATCAAGAAACACTACGATTGTTGGCCTTTGAAAATTATGGAGGTGTTCTAACATTTGGCGGAAGATGAAGATATGATCAATACATCCTCGACCAGAACGAAAACCAGCCTGCTGCTTGCGAGTCAATCTTTCTCGGGTTTTGAAGAACCTACGAAGTATAACGGAAGCCAATAGCTTGGACGCAATCGGAAGTAAACTTATCCCCCGATAGTTGTTACAGGGACGACGTGAACCCTTTTTAAAGATGGGGAGAACTATCGACTCATTCCATGATGTTGGAATTATCAATACTTAGGCTATTTAAATCCCGTGTGAAGTTAAATTCTCTTGGCACGAATAAATTCTTCATAGTTAACGGAAGCATTTTTGACTACCCTTATATTATTTGTGAACAATTCAACAAGCACCTCTCGCAATGCTACAAAACTGGAACTGAAAGCTCTATCATTACATTTCCAAAGCTGACATACAGACACCTATCGATAATTGATTTTAAGCCCTCCAACATCCAGTGGTCACAGATGCTCTGAAAAAGTATTATGATGGTGGACCTTTCGGGATCCCTCCATCATTTGTGAAATATATGAGTAGAGAATTTCCATTATTTTGTTTGAAACTTTCAACCTGTCTATGGAATATGGGACCTATCCATCTGTATGGGAAACATCTCTTATCACCCCAAGATTTAAAACAATTAATTTAACATCCGGGCTCTCAATAACCATGGAAAAAATCATCTCAAACAGCTATTATCATTTTTACTCTCGGCTTGTCTGATAACCCCACCCCAACACGGGTTTATGACTAAACACTCATGTTTCACGTCGCACCTGGAATTTTTTGATCAAATTACCCAGAGAAGTGATGTTGGTCAGTCAGCGATGATTCTTTACTTCGATTTTAGTAAGGCTTTCGACAGTGTCTCACACAAACTTCTTCTTCCAAAACTCTCTTCATTTGACATACAGAATCCCCTTTTATCTTGACCTAAATCTTTTTTAGAAGAACGTAACCAAATCGTTCACTTTGGACCTTGTTACTCTAGGCCTGTGAATGTAACCAGTGGGGTTATACAAGGAAGTGTGATTGGTCCATTAATCTTCCTCCTTCTTGCCAGTGACATGTGTTCCATCCTTCAGCATGGTAAACATTTCCTTTTTGCCGATTACCTAAAAGTAGTTTATTTATTCTCTGCTCCCACCACAGAAAGCTATATTTCAGCGGCAATCCAAGAAGAAATAAACAAGTTGTACGAATGGACTGTTCCGTGTAATTCGTCACTTAATGTTGACAAAAGTGGATTTATTCACATTGGCCGCTGCCTTAACTTAAACATACACTGAAACCTCTCAACACTGTTCGTGACTTGGGTTTAAGATATAGCAACAGTTTGAACTTTTCTGAGCACATTGCATCTCAAGTATCCAAAGCTAGAAAGCTCATTTGATTCATAATGATAAACTTCAATAATATCGAATCGAGGTTATTATTATACAGAAAATGTATCTTACCCTTTCTTGAATATGTTATTTTAGTTTACAGTATTTGCAGGCATAATGACCAGATTAAAATTGAGGGTGTTCAAAGAAGACTCGCCAAAGCTGTTTTGGGATATTCCGACAACAAGGACTATCACCAAAGATGTAAACAATTCAAATTAGAACATCTCTGGATCAGACGTATCAAAATAAACCTTGTCTTTATCTACCGGCTTATTAACGATATTTCCTACTCTTCGATTTCCACCCCCTCATACCCTATGATATCACACCAAAATCTAAGCAATAAGGAAACTATTCTAGCAATTCCAAGAACCCACACAAGCCTACGCTAGAATGTTTCCGTTACTCGCTACTCAACCATGTAGAACAGACTGCCAGTGAACCTCCGTTTCAGTGAAACTACAACCTAGCTCAGAAGTCTCCTTGATGATTTTCTTTCTGAAAGTGGATTGTGTCACCTATTAAATATCAGTGTGTTTAATAATGATTTATACACACAACGTCCGTCATCCATCTAATTGACTGGAAAGCAAAGTGTAACCTATGAAACTTTTCCTGCCTATTTTTTTTATTTCTGTTCATCTTAATATATGAAGTCCGCCAATGTTCATATTTGTATTTATTACTATTATTATTATCATGATTGGTTCATCAACTCATTAGATATTCTTTTCATCTCTTCTATTTCTTTCTACACATGTTTTATTCCTAAACATCGAAATTCCATAGCCAGAAACAAGTTATCTTTCTTCACATTTAAATAAATCAACTCCTCAGATACAATTCATCTTCACCACATGTATAACACATAGATATTTATTGTGGCGGTACATAAATCCCCAAAATAAATAGCCCTGTAAGTTTTCGACATTAGATGCTGACCATATGTTTTAGTGGACTCATCTAGCTGAAGGCGCTCGGTCAGGCATCCGCACCAGATCACGTGTGGTAACGCCGTGCTCCACATCAACCGCAATCGCTAGCCAGATTAGATCAGAGAATTCCGATAGTTTGATTATCGCCAAATACACTCTTCCGATCTCCTCGACTCAGTCTTTTGATTTCTCTGGGTGGGAACGAATTATATTAGAAGGTGTTACTGGTAGAAGCGTTGTCAAACACTGAATACCTGTGT